AAAAAAAAAAAAAAAAAAAAAAAAAAAAAAAAAAACGAATCAGTTCCTGGTGCTGCCAGCCTGTGTGGCAACTGTACCTATGGTCTTCCTGAGGGTTGCTGAAGTCCCCAGAGGAGTGATTTTGTTTAACCATTCGTTTAGCTGATGCATGCTTTTGATATTCTGACTTATAGCCCTGGCTACACCAAGTTCTTGGACAGCTTCTTTGCCCTGTTCCTGCAGTGCCTTCACTTTAGGTGCTGCCCTATGGTGAAACCCCGAAGAGGGAAAAGAGTAAGCTGGAGGAAAAAAAATGTGAATTAAATTATTGTTGGGCTTCTTTGTGCATTTTAGTAACAGTGAAACCCCCTTAACTGTGCCAGTCTCCGGTCACCAGCCGTATATCCAGTCGTCATCTCATCCACAGTACAGCTTCTCTTGTTGATGCTGGCCACAGCTAGATTACTTGGCATGTTTATTGACTTAACAGAATTGTTTTTTGGTTTTGGTTTTGTTTTTTAATGTATACGATGTTTAAATACACTTCACATTTTATATAATACTATCTGGCTATTAGTATTTTTCAGGAACCATAGTTCTTGGTGGCTATATATATTTTTGTGACTTTTTTTGTAAACTAAGTGCCGTTTCAACGTTACAATCATTTTTAGAGTTATTGTAATCAATGTGAATATCATGTTTTTTCAAATCTGTTCTGAGCCTGTAGTGTTTGCTTTGTGATCATATGTGTAATGTATATATTCTGTATAGTTACATTGTATTGAAATACTAGCTTGTTTGATATAAGAAAAGTATGTATTGGGTACCTTTTTGCTAGCCTGGTTGTTTAATCTTTAAAAAAAAAATGTTCTAAAATACAAAAAAAAAAATCTTCAAACTGGTCCCATTATAGGTCAAAATTAAGGGGGGAGAAAAACTAGTTTTGAGTGTCTTTGGATAGAAACATGAAGCTAAGATTTTTCATTAAAATATTAATGTTTTATGGAGTATATCTTTGCTTTGTGTCGTTATTTAACTTTACCAGAGTTTGTCTTCCAGTACAAAAGACTAGCTTTGACCTTGTGTAAGAAGGTGCAACTCTGTTGCTAGAGCTACATTTGCTTATAACTTTTGCTTATAATGAGTCTCAGAATAGTTGAGTATGAGGGGAACTCGCTGTTGCTGAAGCTGTCATTGGGAGGAAGGTAGTTTAAAACAAAATAAGCATTAATAAATGACTGGAGAAGTTACGTGAGTGAAGAGTATTAAGAATAAAGTACACATTTCTGTTTAATTTTCCATTGTATATTACATTTCCTTTTGTTAATGCTCTCTTTTAGGCTGTATTCTGCAAAATCGGTGGGGCCGTCTTTTGAACGGGGTTTTACTGATGGAAAGCCAGCCAAGAATGAGCCTAATCAAATTAGTCAAAGCAGAAGATGTTTAAAAAGGACAGTAGACAGAGTCATCATGATCGCAGCTGTGTGCTTCAAAATAGTCATGAAACAGCCTAGAGTCATGGGACTTAAAATACACCTCTGCTGTTTCTGGCAGCCCTTGCAATTAAATTAATTTGCCTCCTACAGACCCACCTGTCTGACCGAGCTGGAATGCTGTCTGGATCAACACCTAGCTAGGGCACAGGTAGGAAAATGGAAGTTTTGTAACTGCTTGGCTGAAATGATTAGAACTCTGCCCGGTAGCCTCTATGAAAACAAGCAGGCAGGCATGATTAACACACTGGCGGTCAAATCGTGTTCAGCAGCTGACACGGGAGTGAAAACGAAAATGGAAAAGCGTTCCATGGTGTGGAGTAAGCAGCCACAATCAGCCTTGGAGGGGGAGGCTGAGAGCTGCTGAATTCCGAGTTCTCGTTTTCCTGGGGACCTTGTGCAGGGACAGAAGTACTTTATCCAAAGCATGGTTGGAAGAGGGAATGTATCTGTTGAAGGCTTTGGAGAGAAGGAAGGCTGAGATGTAAAGGCTTTGAGTCTGTTGGTCTCCCATAAAAGCAAGAATTTTGCTGCTTTAAAGACAGACACCCAGTTAGGAGTATGCAGTGATGCTTAGCAGACCGTTACAAATCTAAAGCCTGTATGACTGTATATGAGCATATACTATCCTAAAGCTAAGGCAAGGCTGCTAAAATGCATACCTTTGATGGATATCGAGGGTCAGACTTGTGACTCGAGCAGATTTTTCCAAAGCACAACCATATGTTTAAGTTTAGCCTGAAACATCTTTTAGACATCCTTAAAGCAAGTGTACGCTATGAAGTTTTTTTGTGGCTTCCTTACAGCGTTTAAGCATTTTATTCCTGACAGTAATGAAGTACTATTTCTTTTGCACAGAGGAGAGTGGCCGACACGAGATTGAACTCGTAGCTACCGAGAATGTAGTAGAGCAGGGAAGAGTTCTCCCAGGGCTTACTGCACCATTCCTACGTATGTGATATCCTGGTGAAAATGAAGCTGCTAAGAGAAACCTGGCTTGGATTATGTCTATAAAGTGCTTTTCACAAGCTGCTTGTGCATGCTGCATCTCCAGAGCACTGAGCATAACTCTGTCATCACCATTCTTAGAGCAGAGATTGCTGTGAGACCATGAGCAAGCAGAGCAGGGGTAAGTGTGTACATGTTAGAGCCTCCGTTACAGCTCAGAGACATGTGGTTTTCGGTCATTCTGATTTTTGGGATCTGTTGACACTTTTTTTCAGAGGAGGCATGCACTCTTGAATAGCACATTTACACTTAAGGATAGTACCCCTGATTTTCTTAGTTGCCTTCCACAAATCCTTTTGAAATAGGCCCCAGACACCCAGAGTGAAAAACAGGTGTTTGAAAACCACTCTTAAAGGCTTGAGTTAATTGCTTTCAATCATCAGTTGCCTTTGTCTCGGTCACAAGGTCTCACAGTAAAGATTACAGAGCAACTCCTGGGGCATCTATTTGTATATCTCGACCCTTTATCTCTGATTGTTGAAATTTTGAACTCTTCCATCCAAATTTTGAAGGGAATGACCTCAACGTAAGAGAGGTGCTTGGCTCAACTCTACGTTAATTTGTGTGGCTGGGCCGCTACCGCTGACTTTCAGACACCCCCACCGTTTCCAATCCAACTGACTGGATTTGGGTGGGAGTTATCTTTGTGAATACATCCGCTGCATCTGGCTAAACTGCATTCCCAGTCTTCCCTACGCCTGAATAAAGCTAGATGCTCAGGCCATGTGTTTTGTTCTACTCCCACCACTGAGAAGGTAACAGTTTTTTCTGACAAAGCTCCGCTTGTTCCCCTGTACGTGCACGCACGCAGTCTGTATGTGTTCATTCAGAAGGAACTTTGAATGATGACCAAACAAACCATCGATGGACCAACTCACTATTACTGTCTTTTGGTTAATTTTCACTGGATGAGGAGGTTACTAGCTTAAACCTCCAGCAAGAGCCTTGCTTCACTCTTCTGTTAGCCCTCACCAACTTCTCTTGAGTTTGGAGTGAAAAGCAGAGGCATGGTTCCCTGCGACCCTGTGCTCATCTCTAAATAAGCTTCTCCTCCACAGGGGGACAGGATTTATGGACGTGATATTAATTTTAAGGAAGCAGATATAATTTGTGATCTTGAGAGGGAGTTTTTTAGTGGAGAGGGGAGTGTCGATGCTACTTCAGTACATTTTTCTCTCTAGTTTTTTTCTCTGCATAGACTGACATTTTCCAGACTATTTCTAAGAAAAAACAATGTCAGCTACAAATAGATTGCTGTTAAGAATGAAGAAACATTGAATAAGTATGGACAGTATTCACTTACACCAAAACAAAGTACAGTCCTTAATTTGTTGGCTTAAAGTGTTTGTCTGCAATGCAGTATAGCTTTGAAACTACCTTGGGCCCAAGATAGCTGAGTATGCCCCTGGCATTCATGCTTCTAGAAAGACAAAAAGCTAACAGTAAAATGGATCATCTGAATTCTTAGGAGGCAGGGGAAAAGTGTTCAGGTGAGTAGACTTCTGAGTCAAAGAGGAATAACCAGAAGTATTGGGAGAGGAACAAGGAAACCATGATGTGTTTGTGGGCTGCTGGAGAGATGACTCTCAATTCCAGGATCATTTCTCTGTGTGTAAGTGAAGAAGACATTTTGACTCACACACAAGGAGAAGTGATCCCTCGGGGTTTGATACTATATCATGGAAGGGTAACAGTCTGCAGGCTTCAGAAGAGCAAGGTGAATGACAATCCCAGTCCACTTAAAGCATTTAAATAGTCTGCCTTTCCAGAAATGTGTTTAAATTGCTCCTTTAGAGCTTACCCATTTGGTGAACTTTACTCTTGCCAGTTGCTTCTCTGACTCAGCACAGTGTATTTTATAGCCTGTGTAGTAATGGGGTGGACAGAACTGTTTTTGGAGAGTTTATGTGCATAAACAGACCCTTGCACTGTGTAGAACAAAACTGGAGAGAAAAGACACCAAAGCAGAAGACTAATAGGCAACAGAGCTCCGAAAACCAAAACATCTCTCCAGGGTAGAACTTCATCTTCCCACAATTTAAATGAGAAAAATAACAAAAATCCTAACAAAACCTTTTATATAACTTCAGTGTTGCAGTGATCAGTTTCAGCGTTGACGTGACAGCAATTATAAACAACAGTTATGCAACTGCCTCGTTGATTGAATTGAAATTAATACAGAGAAAGAAAGAGCCAAACAAAAAGAAATGGCTTTGGGTTGACTTGTTATGTTTTAAATAATAAAAAAAATGCTCAGGTCAGCCTCTTTTTCAAAAGCGAGCACAAGCCCAGGGTGAAAAATCTCCCTGAAGAACAAAGCGAATTGCTCTTAAAATTCTGTTTGTGTTAGAGGCAGAATTGTGTTTATCTTCTAAAGCTTACAGCTCTTTTTTTTTTTTTTATCTGACTGTAAGGTAAATCAATATTTTCATTTTGCT